AAATCCTGAAAATCAAAGGAGAAAACTATTGAACTAATAAATAAAATCAAGAACTGGTTTTATGAAAAAAACCAATAAAATAGAAAAACCATTGGGTAATTTGATTTAAAAAAAAAGAAAGAAAACCAAATGACCAGTATCAAAAATGAAAAGGATGAATTCATCACCAATGAAGATGAAAATAAAGCAATAATTAAAAGCTATTTTGCCCAATTGTATGCCAATAAATCTGACAATCTAAGTGAAATAGATAAATATTTACAAAAATATAAATTGCCCAGATTAACAGAAGAGGAAATAGAATACTTAACCCCATTTTAGAAAAAAAAAATTGAACAGCAAGGCTGCATGTCATTGTCATGATCCAGCAAGAGAGTACAATACCTGAATTGCCCACAAAGAGAGACTTTCAAACCACCTATATTTCTAAGAGGCAATTGTCTTTCCTCTGGCCATCGAGGGGCACACAGCCCACAAACACTTATGTTGATCCACCCAGTGGATAGGGGAAAGCACCCTCTTATGTGCCAAAACCATCAGAAACTCTGTTCCCTCGCTCCTCCTCTCTCCCTCCCCACACTCCTCTCCTCTCCATGAATAATGGAAGTCTGTGATTTAGTCATTACTTTCTTTGTCTTAGTTTTTTTGGCATTTTGTTCTGGCATTTGACTATTTGTGGGTTTTGATACATAAATAGATAAAATAAGTTTTAAAAATAACGACTGGCCTTTACAAAGTGTTTTACAATTTACAAAGCACTTTACATGCATGTTCTCATTTAAGACTCACAATTCTGTATGGTAGATACTGTAAGAATTATTATCATCATTTTGCAGATGAGGAAACTGAGGCTTACAGAGGGTTAAACAACTTATCATACAGCTAGTAAGCAGAGAGGCCAAATCTGAAAGCTGGTCATTTTCACTCCAAGGCCATCGATCTAACCAGAAAGCCACCAGATTTTCTTACCATCCCCCTACATGGTGCACACATCTTTTTATATTTTTGACAAAGCTCTCCAATTCTCCCTCAAAAGTGGAGTTCCCAGGAGGACTACTACCCCAGGTTCAAAGTACCCTATGGGTCTACACACCTAAAATTATACCTCACCAGCCCCTTCCACTGTGATTGCTCTTTGATAAACAGCAAAGGGAACCGTTAGCTTTAAAGCAAAGGCTTTTACTGGAGTAGTAAACACTTTTTTTTTTTTACATTAAACATCCTTCTCCACCCCTAGCCCCACTCCCCACCCTCATAGAAAAGGAAATGGCAAACCACTCCAGTATCTTCGTCAAGAAAGCCCCAAATGGGGTCAAGAAGATTCAGCCACAAATGAAAAACCACTGAACAACGACTGAATCCCTCCCCACCCAAAAACCCCTTAAGGAACACTTCGGGGTCAGGGTGGCCAATGACACAATAACTATTTTTGAATATTTGGAGGCCTGTCATGCAGAAGAGAGATTAGATTTTGTCTGCTTGCCCCCAAAGTATTGAAATAGAAACAGTGGACGGAAGTTTAATAGTGGCAAATTTGGGCTTAAGGAAACTACCAAATTTAGAACTATTGAGAAGTGGAAGAGACTGCCTTCAGAGGCAGCGAGCCTCTCTGAATGTCCTCAAGCAAAGGCCAGACGACCACTCATTAGCAAAGGTACAACTAGTACAGGGCAAAGGAGCTGCCCACATGTAAAGATAAGGTGAGCAGGAGGCATTCCTCCTTATTGTGGTTGCTGTCCTCTCATCTTGCCTTTAGGTGCTTTAGAAGGAATGGGAGCAACACAGTTACAGACTCTCATAATCATGTTACCCCCTTCTCCAACACCCACTCCTCTCTCACCCTCAATCTACATGAAGATAAGAGCTACACATTTTAGGGGAGTGGGTCACTCCCTTTCTCCATCATTCTACAGAGCTGGAAAAAACCTTAAAACTTAAGATGTCAAAACTGGAAGGAATCTTAGAACTTAAAACGTCAGAGCTGGGAGGGCCCTGAGAACACAGAATGTCAGAGCTAGGAGGCACCTCTTAAGATTTCTTAGGACAGAAAAATGTCTCACTCCCAACCTTTCATTGGCTCTACTGCTCCAAAATTTGATTTGAGACATTATTTTAAGTTGTTCGGAGGGAAATGTTGAGAGAGTTCAGCTGGGTGGCTGAATCTGCCATCTTGGCTTTGCCCTCTCCAAAACCATCACTCTTTGCAGAGGATATGATGGTATACTGAGAGAACCCTAGAGAATCAATTAAAAAACTAGTTGCAATTAAAAACTTCAGCAAAATTGCAGGATATAAAATAAACACATATAAATCATCAGCATTTCTATATATTACCAACAAAACCCATCAGGAAAAGATAGAAAGAGAGGTTCCATTTAAAATAATTGCAGACATTACAAAATACTTGGGAGTTTACCTGCCAAGAGAAACCCAGGGACTATATGAACACAACTATAAAACACTTTTCACACAAATAAAGACAGATCTAAACAATTGGAGAAATATTCATTGCTCATGAGTAGGCTGAGCCAATATTATAAAAATAACAATTCTTCCTAAATTAATTTACTTATTTAGTTCCATATCTATCAAACTACTAAAAATCATTTTATAAAGCTAGAAAAATAATAACAAAATTCATCTAGAAGAACAAATGGTCAAGAATATCAAAGAAATCAATGAAAAAAATGTGAAGGAAGGTGGCCTAGCAGTATCAGATTTCAAACGATGTTACAAAGTGGTAATCATGAAAAACAATGTGGTACTGGCTAAAAAACAGAGCAGTGGGTCAGTAGAATAGCAGTAATAAATGCCCACAGTAATCTAGTATTTGATCAACCCAAAGATCCAAGTTTTTGTAACAAGAACTTACTATCTGACAAAAATTGCTGGGAAAACTAGAAAGCAGTCTGGCAGAAACTAGGAATAGACCAACATTCACACTGTATAACAAGATAAAAGTCAAAATGGGTACATGATTTAGACATAAAGGGTGATATCATAAGCAAATTAGGGGAGCATGGAAAATTTTACTTATTACATCTATGGAGAAGGGAATATTTTATGACCAAACAAGAGACGGAGAGCATTACAGGATATAAAATGGATAATTTTATAAAAGGACTATAAAACTGTGCATACCCTTTGACCTAGCAATACCACTACTAGGTCTGTATCCCAAAGAGATGAAAGAAAAAGCATAGGGACCCATTTTTACACAACTATATATAGCAGCTCTTTTTGTGGTGTCAAAAAATTTGGAAATTGAGGGATGCCCATCAACTGGGAAATAGCTAACCAAGTTGTGTTATATGATTGTGATGGAATATTATTGTGCTATAAGAAATGCTGAGCAGGATGGTTTCAGAAAAATCTGAAAAGACTTATATGAACTGATGCAAAGTGAAGTCAGCAGAACCAAGAGAACATTGTACACAGCAACAGCGATATTGTAAAGATGATCAGCTGTGAAAGGCTTAGTTACTCTGATCAAGGCAATGATCCAAGACAATTCCAAAGGACCCATGATGAAAAATGTATACCTACCTCCAGAGAGAGAGAACTGATTAATTCAGAGTGCAGATTGAAGCATACTTCTTTTCTCTTTCTTTATATTCCTTGTTTTTTAATTTTTTATTTTTTGTAACATGGCTTATATGGAAATATGTTTTACATGACTTCAAATGTATAACTGACATCATAGTGCTTGCCTTCTCAATGGGTGGAGAAGAGGTAGAAGGGAAGGAGATAATTTAGAACTCAAATTTTTCCTTGTCTTAGTTTTTGCATTTTTTTCCAATAATATGTAAAAACAATTTTTAACATATTTTAAAAAATTTTGATTTCCAAATTCTCTCCCTTACTCTCTCCTCTCCCTGCCTTGAGAAGGCAAGCAATTCGATATAGCTTATACTTCTTCAGTCATGCAAAACATATTTCCATATTAGCCATGTTGTGAAAGAAAACACAGACCAAAAAAATATGAGAAATAAATAAAGTTTTAAAAAGTATGCTTTGATATGCATTCAGACGCCATCAGTTTTGGTTTTTTTCTTTAGAGGTGGAGAGCATCTTAAGTCCTTTGAAATTGTCTTGGATCATTGTATTGCTGAGAATAGCTAAGTCATCCACAGTTACCATCCTTACAATATCGCTGTTAACTGTATACAGTGTTCTCCTGGTTCTGCTGACTTCACTTTGCATCAGTTCATATAGGTCTTCCTAGGTTTTTCTGAAACCATCCTGCTCAGCATTTCTTATAGCAGGATAGTATTCCATCACAATCATATGCCACGACTTGTTCAGTCATTCCCCAGTTGATGAGCATCCCTCAATTTCCAAGTTTTTGACACCACAAAAAGCTGCTGGTAATGTTTGTGCATATGAGTCCTTTTCCTTTTTTTTTTTTTAAATCTGTGATACAGACATTGTAGTGGTATTGCTGGGTCAAAGGGTATGCACAGTTTTATAGCCCTTTGGGCATAAGAACGCAAAATTCTTAAAAATGAATATTAAAAATGATAAAGAGAAAAAAACGACACAATATCAGAGCTAGAAGTAGCCTTAAATAAGGCTCTTAGAGAATATCAGACGTGGGAGGGCCCTTTAGAACAGGGCACGTCACAGGGGGCGGGGCCTTAGATCAATGCGCGTCAGAGGGGGGAGGGGTCTTAGGACAAGGAGCGTCAGAGGGGGAAGGGCCTTACCATAGGGAATGTGAAGGACGGGGGTTGGAGCAGGAAATGTCAGAGAGGGGAGAGGCTGATAGAGAGGAAACTGAGGCACAGAGAGGGCAGGCGGCTTGGCCCAAGTCACAAGTTTCAAACGGTGGCGGTCCCATCAGCGGAAGCCGCGTACCTCTCTGCTAAGGCCTGGCCCCGGGCTGCATCCAGGCCCGCAGACTCCCGCGTCTGTCCTAGCGCTCGCCGTCCAGCAGGGAGCGCCCTCTCAGGGGCCGCGGGGGTTTGTGGGGGGAGAGGGGGAACGAGGCGACGCTTCCGCGCCCGCCGCTCTAGCTCGCCTCTTCCGGTCATAGAGCCCAGCCGCCCGCCCCTTCCGGGGAGGAGCCGGACGTCCGGGATTGGGTGCCAAGATGGAGGACAGCGAGTACGAGTCGGTTCTGTGCGTCAAGCCCGAGGTGCACGTCTACCGTATCCCGCCGCGGGCCACTAACCGCGGCTACAGGTGACCGCCCGCCCGCCTGCTTCCCCTCCCTGCCACCTCCCTTGGCCTTCAGGGGATACCTCCTTCCGCTTTTCTGAGGTCGTTCCGTAGTCTTGCTTTTCTGGGATAACTGCCGTCCTCTGGGAGCGGGTAATTCCCCAACCTCGGTTTTCCAGAATCACCCCTCTCGCTTTTCTGGAATGACCCCCACCCCATCAGAACCCCATGGTCCTGCCAGTCACAGACACAGAACGTCTTGGTTGCCGCAGGGAGTCAGGAAGACCTGAGTTCGAATTCGCCTCAGACCCTTAAGCACCGTGATGCACTGGGGGAGACACTTCCCCAGTCTGGGCTCCAGTTTCCCCCCACTGTAAATAAAACGAGGTTGGGGGTGTTGTGGACTCGATGGCCCCCGGGAACCCTTACAGCCCCAGGCGGGTCTGTGGTCCAGTGAAACCCACCACGGGGGAAACTGACGCGAGACTCACCCAGAGGCCCCACCCCCACCTAAACCCGGGGGAGGGGGGCTCGTGGTCTGGGACTGCCCCTCCCCCACCCCAGGCTGCCCTCAGTCTCGCTGACCCTCTTTGCTTCCCAGTCACAGCAGCCGGGGCCCCCTTCTTCCTCTGCTTTTCCGTCCTTTCCCCAGGGCTGTGGGAAGGGTCCCAGTGCCCCCACAGGGCAGGACGAGGGGTTGGGGGCGCTGTCGTAGCTTTTGGTCTAGACAGTACTGGAAAGCCTGGGTGGAGGCAGGTGGTTCAGACCGTTCCAAAGCATTGGGCTGAAAAGCCATAGAAGGAGGGAGTTTCCATTGCTGGAGATCTTCACCAGGAGGTTGCTGGGGCTGCTGAAGAGAAGCTTTTGTTGGACCCCACGGCCTGAGGGGTCTCTTCCAGCTCCATTGGACCCTATCTAGTCAGTTCCATTTCCAGTCCATTGTATTCCACTGCGCAGAATAATCCACCCAGCACATTGATCTGGTCATGTGGGATTAAGGGGGACCCTTAATAATCACACTCTCTGCTCCCCTTCCTGACCAGCTAGCCTCAGCCCCCATTCCAAATGGTAAGACATCCTTTCATCAGATTATTTCAAGACAAAATAACCTTTGATAGGCAGAATAGGCACGGCCCTGAGATAACAGCTGGAGGAAAGGAGTGAGTGGAGATATCCCCCAGTAGGGGTATGGGAGATGATAGAAACCTCTCTCCTTCTCAGTTTCAGACCCAAGGTGCTAGCTAGTCCTTAACCTAAGTCATCTAGTCTGTCCCTCTTATTTTTTTTTTCTTTTTGGTGAGGCAATTGGGGTTAAGTGACTTGCCCCAGGGTCACACAGCTAGTAAGTATCATGTGTCTGAGACCGGATTTGAACTCATGTCCTCCTGACTTCAAGGCCAGAGCTGTATCCACTGCGCCATCTAGCTGCCCCCCATCCCCCTTATTTTAAAGTGAGAATACTGAGGCCTAGAGAGGGCCAGTGAGTTGTGAGTCATCGATGGTGCTGGGTTAAGAACCTCCAGGCTTTACTCTCAGCCCGGGCTCCTCCCAGCACAGCACAGAGCTTCTCCATTTTAGGACTTGGCTATCGAGTCATCAACTAAACTATCCTAGCATGCTAAGGGGAGGGCACCCATCCCCTCCTAAATCATCCAAAGGGAAGAGCAGAGCAGTGTTGGGGGGAGAGCACTGGCTTTGGGGTTGGGGAACTTGGGAAGCAAGTCTAGCTCTGCCTCTTCCAGTGTGACTTGGGGAAATGCCCTTCTTTTCTCTGGGCCTCATTTTCCACACTTGTAAAATGAGAAAGTTGGGCTTGAGGTTGTACAAAACCCCTTTCATTTTTGTAGACTAGTATCTCGTGCCCCTTAAGTGGTGCTTTTTATAGTGGAAGATGGCTTTGAATGCCACTTTCATTTTCCAAGCTTTCCCCTGCCGAAGTGTAACTTTAGCCCCAGCCAATCAGCCCGTGTTTGGGAGGACCAGGCAGTGGGTAAGCTGGTTAGGGAAGGGAACTCTGCCTCTCTCATCCCCTCCCTCCAGAAAAATCTACACCTATCATACAACCTGTTGTATTAGCTTTCTTGGGCACTGGTCCAGAGGTTTTGTGCTGTGGGCTTTGACAAATTGGTTGCTTCATCAGGACTTAAGAAATAAAAACCTTTTAGAAATTTTATTTTGCTTTGGACTTTTGTCTGAGATAGCTTGCTGGTTTGCCTCAATGCACAAGTGAGTTCTTGTTTCTGTTTCAGATCTCCTGGCAGTTTATGAGCCCTTAGTTGATGTATTGTTAACTTTTTCAGATTTGAGACGTTTTCATGACATTTCTTCCCAATCCTTCCCTATCCCCAAAGCACCAGTGGCACTTTTTCTTAAAATTCAAGTTAATGAAAGTCAATTTAGTCTTTAAGACTTTACCACACCATACCCTAGAGACAATTGTAGACACTAGGATTGTGGAATCATGGATCTAGAGCTGGGGTGGTCAGAGATCATCTAGTGAAACTGAGGCTGGGAGCTAGTAAGTTAGGCAGTGTGATGCAGTGAATAGATTTAACTTCAGTCTCAGTTTCCTCATCTATAAAATGGGATAATAACATCAGCTCCCAGGGTTGTTGTGAAAATCAGATGAGATATTTGTAAAGTCTTTTGCAAACCTTAAAGTGACATGTAAATGCTAGCTATTGTCTTAAGGTCAGAAAGGCAGTAAGCCTAGGAGGTGAGCTTTGAACCCATGTTCTCTGACTCCAGAGACATTAGATTACTCCTTTTGCTGTATTGTGCTGTCTTCCTCAGAGTTGTGGCTAAACCAGGGACTCCGCCTTTGTCTTCTGGTTGTGCCCTCCTTGTATGACTTCAGTGAAAATGATTTGGTTCTACTCTTTTCAGAGAGCTTTTCTTCCCCAAATCCTGTGAGGTGGGCAGTGCAAATATTATCCTCATCTTAGAGATGAGGACACTGAGATGCAGAAAGAGGAAGTGCTATAGTTGTAAGTTGACTCATTTAGCACCATTTACCCACAAAGCTCTGCTAGTCTTGATCATAAGATGTAGGATCCCCAGGAAAAGGAACTGAAAATTGAGACTGCTAAAGTGTATTGAGGTTCTGCATTTTTGTGGACCTTGAAATAAATCAGGCATCTTGAGACTTTTGCAAAGACTTGCTTTCACAAGGCTGTCCTCATGAGCCAGCCTTGAAGTGGATCCAAGCACATGCTAACATTTTCATGGAAAAGCAGGGGTCTTGTGACTCAGGGTATTTCCTGAGCTGCTTCCTCAAAGCAAACCAGAGCTTAGTGTCTAAGAATGGTCTAAGAGTTAGGGCTTACTCTTAAGGCATTGGTTCCCTGACTCCTTTCTGTAAGTAATATCCTTCATTGGTGAATACCTTGATCCTTTTTTACTTCTCATACAAATTATTATCTTTCTTTTCTCTTCCTTTCAAGACTCCCTCCCTTCTGTTCCTTTCCTCTAGGAATTCATAAGTTGTAGTCCTTTAGAGCAGCCCGGGTATCCAGAGGCCATGTAGAGCAGACCTCCTGTTAAAGGTGAGGAAACTGAGGCCCAGAAAAGACACGTGTCAGTAGTCTCTTCTGATTGGTCCTGAGTCCCACAAGAGGGCCTCTCCCGTTTGTGGCCCTTCCTTCCTTCCCCTGCACAGAAAAATCTCCCTGACACCCCAATGTGACATGTCCTACCTCTCCTTAACAACTCCATTTATATCTTTGTGTCACTCATGCTTTCACACAGTAGGCGCCAAATAAACGCTCGTTTGATGTAATTGAAATTTTCAGGGGTTCTTTGCTGGTTACCAAGTACATTTTATAAACTCTTTGACTTTGAAATTTCACAGAATTGCAGACTTGGGAGGGACCTAAAGGGCCATTTAGTTCAACCCATACCTGTCCCTTAACCTGACACATGGTCCCGTGAGTGATAACTCACCACTTCTGAGACAGCCCATTCCATGTAGCCCAAGCTCTACATCAAACTTCAGCTGGCGTCTTGGCTGCTTCCACCCACTGTTCCAGCCTTTGCCCTTTGGGACCAAGCACTATTATTGATCTCTCTTCTGTAGGTCTTTGGGTACTTAAAGGGAGATATAAAGTGCCCTTCCCCTCTCCCCCAAGTTTTCTCATCTCTACTGTCCCAGTCCCTTTAACCCAGAGATTCTTAAAGTATTGTCCCCTGAGACCCTTTAAGGGGGTCAATAAGGTCAAAACTGTTTTTGTAATAATACTAAGACATTTTAATTTCTAATACAGTCAATGTCAGCAGATATAGGCAACATAAAAGCTCTTTTTTTGGCGGGGAGGCTTGTTAATTTTTAAGAGTATAGGGGGGTCCTGAGACCAGAAAGTTTGAGAATCATTGCTTTAATTTCTCTTCATGTGGCATAAACTAGAGTTCCATCATTGTTCTGTTCTCAGGATACTCTCCATTCCTTCTTAAACCATGTCCTCCAGCCTTTAGCACAGTACTCCAGGTGAGGTTTGAACATAGCAGAGGACAGGGGAACTGAAATCCTTTTTCCTGAAGTTACACACTTCTAAATTCAGGCAGAAATAGCATTCTTCTTTGTGGGTGCTACCTCCCACGTGCTTTCAAGATTTTCTAGCATTTGTGGGCCTGGAGTTGTCCATCTCCCCTCCCCAGTACTATCTTTTGACAGTCTTCCTTCCATAGCTCAACTCAGCTGGGCCAAGCCCTCCATGAAGGCATCCCTGATGTGCACCACTCCTCCCCACACATACTGTTAGGTTCTGAGGGTGACCTCTCTTTTTTAAGTGCTCCCAGCACTTCTTCTAGACGTCTCCTTTGCCTCCCTCAATAGAGCGTAAGCTCTCTGAGAGCAGGAGTTGTGGTATCCCCACCCTTTGTATCCCTAGCTTATAGCACGGGCATTTAATAAATAGTGATTGACTAGAACCCAAGCCTTGTGACTTCCAGACCAGGACTCACTCTTTCATTTTTTAAAGTCTTAATGACGCCATTTTATTTTGTCATAATGCAACTGTTTTCTGATATGTCCCCCTGCCCATTGTACCCTCCTTTGTAGCTAAAATATAGTTAAGCAAAACTGACTAACAGAATGACCACATCTGTATTTTTGTTTGTTTGTTTGTTTTGTTTTTTTAGGCAGTTGGGGTTGAGTGACTTGCTGAGGGTCACACAGCTAGTAAGTGTCAAGTGTTTGGTCTGAGGCCGTATTTGAACTCAGGTCCTCCCAACTTGCAGGGCCGGTGCTCTATCCACTGGGCCACCTAGGTGCCCTCAGCTTATATTTTTCTCCCATGACCCTTCTCACTCTAACCCACTTCTCTCTGAGCCCGAATCTTCAGCCTGTTAGCATTTTGCAACATAAGGGATATATCCTAGCAACTTGCTCCTTTGGGAAGCATAGTGAATGAAAAGGTCATTCCTGAAAGAAGAGAGGAAAACCAGCCCCATCCTCTGGGGCTTAGGGTGCGCACTGCCTTCAGTTGACGAATGGATGTGGCCGTGCTCTGGCATCTCAGTGGGTTTTTGTCCCTCATAGGGCTGCAGACTGGCAGCTGGACCAGCCATCGTGGAGTGGGCGGCTGCGGATAACAGCGAAAGGGCAGATGGCTTACATCAAACTGGAGGACAGAACTTCAGGTAAAGAAGAGGGGAGGCCTGAGCGTCATTCTTGCTTCCTCCCATAGAAACCTCTCTTGCTGCCAGACATTGTCTAAGCTTTTATGGCAGTGGTCAGAGAAGCCTCTTTGGGAAACAGTGTGCTCCCATCCCGAGATCTCAGCCTGGCATCCCCAGCCTGTAGAAAATATTTTTATTCAGGGGAGTATTAGCTCCTTTGGGGTTCTTTAGGGTCCAAGTATTGAGGAAAGCACTCAAGGAGACCAAGAAGAGCCCTACCGATTGGTCTGGAGTGGCTTTTCTTGTAGACAGCCTCAGTGCAGAAGCATCAGGTTGGATGTGAGTCTTGTGCTGGTCTCCAGTCCTGGTATGTAACTAGTTTACTTAGCTGAGTAGTTCCTCACAGTGAAAAATACCCAGGAACTGAAGGGGGCAGAAATCTTTCCTTATGCCACCGGTCGACCTGCGTAATGGCGATGACGAGGGCTCACATCTATACGGTGCCCAAAGGTCTTTTAAGAACTCTGCTAACTGCGTGTGGTAAGCGCTGTTATTGTTCTCATTTTACAAATGAGAAAACCAGGACCTGGAAGGGGAAAGTGATCTGCCCAAGGTCACACCGTGAGTAATTCCTCGAACTACCACTGAACCTTGGTCTTTCTGACTCCCAGCTTTAGCGCTGTTTCCATCCTGCGTCTATGCTGTGCTGGCTTATCACAGTTCCTAGAGCTGGAAGGGACTGGGTAGAGGTGACTTAGTCCAGACTCCTTGGTTTATAGGTGAGGAAACAGGCCCAGAGAGGGGAGCTGTCATTCCCAAAGTTACCTGACAAGGGGCAGAGCTAGGATTCAAACTTGGATTTTCTGACCTTAAATCTGCTGCTATTTCCTGCTATATCAGCCTGTCAGAAATGGTTTCATGTGGAGAACGGCTCTTCAGAATCACTGATGGGTGGCATAGACTTAAAAGCAAAGCAAGCTCTAGGCCGTAGAAAGTCATGTACAGTATAGGCCTACCTCAGGGATACTTAGTGAGTTGCACTCTACTATAGTATGTTAAGTGTGCCATAGTATTATGTCTAAAAAAAACAGTGTACATACCTTAATTAAAAAATACCTTATTACTAAAAAATGCTAACTCATCATCTGAGCCTTCATTGAGTCATAGTCTTTTTACTGGTGGAAGGTTTTGCCTTGATGTTGATGGCTGCTGACTGATCAGGGTAGGGCTTGCAGAAGGTTGAGGTGGCTGTGGCAGTTTCTTAAAATAAGACAACAATGAAGTGTTCCATGTTGATTGACTCTTCCTTTCACTTGAACATTTAAAGGCCATCGTAAGGTTGTTATTAATTGGCCTAATTTCAATATTGTTGTGTCTCAGAACACAGGTAGGCCCAAGGAGAGGGAGAGAAGAGGGGAAGGGCCAGTAGGTGGAGAAATTAGAACACACATAACGTTTCTCTGTTAAGTTCGCCATCTTATACATTCATGGTGCCCCAAAACAATTACAATAGAAACATCAAAGATCATTGATCACAGGTACCCATAACAGATAGAATAATAACAAAAAAGCTTGAAATGTGGTGAGAATTACCAAAATGTGACACAGAGACGCCATGTGAGCACATGCTATTGAAAAAATGCACCAATAGACTTGCTTAATGCATGGTTGCCACAGACCTTCAATTTGTAAAAAATAGAACATATGAAAGCAGTAAAGCAAAGTGCAATAAAACCAGGTATGCCTGTACTCTCTACAAAGCATATAGAAATGTTCATTTTATTTCATGTTTGTTAGGTGCAGAATAAAATAAAATGGAAGAAAAATTTTTTTAAATCCTTCTGGGGAAATAGTTCACAAAGTCCCGGGCCCTTCTGAGGCCCTTTCCTCAGTATCACACAACTTTCTTTTTTTGTGAAGAGAGACCAAATGTGCATGTTCAGCAGTCAGTACAGTGGGAGAGCTTGGACTCGGAGTGAGCTGCCAAGGTTCAAATCCTGCCTCTTCTGCTTAGTGGCTGTGTGACCCTGGGCAAGTCACTTAACTTCAATGAGTTTTGTTCAACCTCTTCATGTGTAAAAGGTGGGAGGGAGTAGCACTGCTAATAATGAAACTGATAATACTACTACTAAGAATACTATTTACATAATGCTTGCTATGTGCCAGCCACTGTGCAAAGCACTTTCCAGATATCTCATTTGATCCTCACCGTGACCACGTGAGACAGGTGCTTTTATTGTCCCCATTTTGTACATGAGAGAACTGAGGGACACCGGGTGAAGGGACTTGCCCAGGGTCACACAGCTAGTAAGTATCTGAGGCTGGTTTTGAACTCAGGTCTTCCTGACTGCAGGCCCAGCTGCTTAGGTAGATGGCATTGCTTACCTCCTGGGTTGGTGGCAAGCATTACAGATGTGCAAGATGTGAGGATATAGAGCAAGGGTTAGATCGAGGCCCTTGCCAGAGGTAAATCTGGTCAGTTTTCTACTAGTCGTTTTTAAAGGTGCTAAAGAGTTAGTCCTGGCTGAAAGTGGCCTTGGAGAAAGATGGCATGGCGTGGCCAGAATGGATTGAGAACAGTTCCCAAGGGCTCTCACAGGCACCCGATGAGCCCTTCAGCAAATATTGGGTAATAATAAGGATTACAATGGTCACTGTTAGATCATGCTTTAAAGTGGTTTTCTCATCTGGGTCTCTAGAATCCTAGGACATCCTATGACAAGGGCTGTTATCCCCATCTTACAGATGAGGAAATTGAGGTTCAGAAAAGGTAAAGGAGGTACTCGTAATCACCCCACTAGTGAGCAGCAGAGGTAGGATCTGAACCCAGCTTTTCCTGACTCATGAGTTCACGGAAGCTCTCCAGGCAGTAGTTGATGTTTATTCCTGCTCCTTTCACTGACTTCCTAAGTACTGGGAGGTGTTACAGGGAGTGGCAGAAGCCCTAGATTCAGAATCGGGAAGACTGGGGTCTGATCCTGATTCATCCCCTGCTCACCGTGTGACCTTAAGCAAGTCGCTTCTCTGGGCCTCTGTTTCTTCATCTGTCAAATGAAAACCTTGAACTGAATAATATTTGATCCATAAATTCTTATGACTTCTTTTTCCTCTGGAGGACTTTGGCTGTAAGAGTAGCCCCTGGACTGACCTCCTGAAAGGAGTCTTTTGGACCTTTCAGCTTCATATTCTTCCATTGGGTTTCTCCACTTTCTGATTGCTTTGTGATCATAGCTTGTTAGGTCTGCAAGGTCAACACCTTCCACATCCACCCTTCAGACCTAGAACCAGAGAGGGAGAGGATGCCGGACTTGTGGTGAATGCTCTTGGTTTTGCTTGGTCCACTTTTTGTAATGTCATTATATATGTTTGATGCCTTACATTTTGCAAAGCACTGTCCTCCCAGTGGCCCTCTGAGGTACATTCTTGGCCCCATTTTCCTGATGAGACTGGTTGAGGCTTGTACTGTTAGTCAGCATCTGAGCTTGGAGCTCTGGATTTGGGGTGCCAATGCTGCCTCTCACCATGATGATAAAATCATAGCAAAAAGATTGGAAACTGTAGTATTCTTGAGCTGGGAGGAATTGTAGAGACCATCTAATTAAGTGCCTTCATTTACAGAGAGAATTAATTGAGGCTGAGAAAGGGGGAATGCTCCAAATAAGATCTTATCAGAAAATGTGTAAACTGGAAGGCCCACACTCTACTGCCCGTGAGAAGATGAGCCTTATGCTGGGTAATGATGACGGTGCTCTGGATGGAGCAAGGAATTCCACTGTGCCCCAAAGGTGGCGCCCTTGTGAAAGGGCCTCATTGGCCTTTTAGCCTTTCCACAAGACTGAATGAAATCAAATGGTCTTCTCCAAATCTACCAGCCCCCCAGACTCAGCCGCCATCCCTTCTCTTAATCAGAGGTGGCCTCAGTTCATTATTCCTTCCCACTGGTGTGGGTACTTCCAGCATTGATGAGCCTCAGTGTTAGTGTATTTTGTCTTTTCTAGTATTCACCCCGGTGTGAGCTCATACTTACCAGCTGTGTGACCACGGGCAAGTCACAACTATCTCTCTGAGTCTCAGTTTCTTCATCTGTAAGATGGGAATGATAGCACCTGTAGTCCCCACCTCACAAGGTTCTTGTGAGCAAAGTGCTTTGTAAACCTTAGAGTCGTAGGTGAATTGAAGGCATGTGGTAGGGCTAGAATGCTGGATGTGGAGTCGGGAAGACCTGGCTTCAAACCCCTTCATTTCTGTCTCTTAGCTAGTCACTGCCCCTTCCCATTTCCTCAGCTGTATAAAATGGGGACCAGAAAATCTTAAAGGAAACTCCAGTGAGGGAATGCCTGTGAAGTGCTCTGTAAACTCCAAAGAGCTTTCTAGACATCAGTTGGCAAATCCCTGCTGGGGTGCTTCGTGATTTTACAGAGTGCTCCGGAAGAGGATCCCTACCCCCATTTTACAGTTGAGCACACTGAAGATCAGAGAGGGAAAGTGACTTACGTGAGGTCACATAGCTTGCAGATTTTGGACCTGGGACTCTTGACAACTAGTTCGTTCTTCTTTCTACACTTTACTGTGTCTTTGGTCACTGGTCAATAGATGAACCTCTTATTAATTGGGATGCCCTGTGTTCTCCCTATGCCAGACATTTATTGATTTGATTTTAATGAATCCTGCCCTCCCTAGGGCTGCCCCTTTGGAGGGAGGCGTGAGGGTGGGTCTGCAGAGCAGGCCTGGCCAACCGAGAGGGTGTCCATTTCCATGGCTCTCGTGAGTCCCTGCCTGGTGCCCTTGGTGCCGGGGCACAGCTGGTGGGGAGGGGTCGTTCCTCATGCTGACGCCCGCTTTCAGGAGAGCTCTTCGCCCAGGCGCCTGTGGAGCAGTTTCCCAGCATTGCCGTGGAGAGCGTGACAGACTCCAGCAGATACTTTGTTGTCCGGATTGAGGACGGAAGTGGTAAGTGAGCCGCCACTTTGGGGGAAAACCTTTTTGCCCTGTCAAGACCGTGGGCCTCAGGGTGCTGTGTTCCCCACAGGGCGGCGAGCATTTATTGGCGTTGGCTTTGCTGACCGAGGGGATGCCTTTGATTTCAATGTAGCGCTGCAGGACCATTTCAAGTGAGTAGGCAGCCCCCCGGCCCCTCCCCCAGAGAGTTTACTTCTCAGATGGGAAGATTTCCCATTGCAGATAATGAAATTGAAGCCCACAGTTGCTGGCTGGCATGGGTGACATCAACCAGCAGGTCACTTGGACCTGACATGGGGCTGGCCCATTCAGCGTGCTCTACCCTTTCTTTCCTGAGAGCTGGCTTTGCCTCCTTGCCATTTAACTGCTGGAAGAAGACCTGCCATAAGTTCTTGTGGTCCAAATGCTGCTTTCATCTTTGCCCTTGGTTATGGCCTCAGTAGGGATAAGACTGCTCTTCTGCTCTCTCTTGCTGCATCTCCTTCCTCCACTTATCCCAGTCCTCCTCATCTTCAGGACCCACCTTCTCTGACCACCTTTAGTCCCAAGTGACCACTTCCTTTTCTGGCCATTCCTTGTATTTAGACCAGGGGTGGAGAAGCTGTGGCCTCAGGTGCGGTCCTTTGACTGAATCCACACTTCACAGAGCAAATCCCCTTCATAAAAGGATTTGTTCTGTAAAACTTGGACTCAGTCAAAAGGCCACACCTGAGGACCTAGAGGGACATGTGTGCCCTTGAGGCTGCAGGTTCCCACCCCTCATTATACCTATACATGGAGAATTGGGGGGAGATGCTATATGTACAGTCAGAGCACCTGGGTTCAGAGTCTGCTTCTGTGTACTCTGCTCCCTTAGGCAAGTCTCAGTTTCCTCATCTGTCAGCCAAGGGATTTTGACGACGTGGTCACTGGGGGGGACCCTTGGCAGCTCTTGGTCTGTGATCCCAGGATCCTGCAGTCATTTAGCACTTAGTCTTCTGCTTGTGAATGGGTTCGTTCTCAAAGTGTGGTTGTAAATTGGTCATCTGGAATTTGGAATGTAGTTTTCCATCACCAAGTCTTACTGATGCCGGCTGATCTTTGCACACCCTTGGGCTCTGGGCGCCTGGCCGCTCTGTGGGGCTTTGCTGCCCTTCCTCCCTCCATTTGTCAAACCCTTCTCATCTTCAAGCCCCATTTGTCCAGTTCCTTGAGTAGCCCCCAGGCCAACCCACCAACACCTTGGTAAACCCTAAGTACAGCCCCTGAGGGTCACACCCAGGTGTTCCTATCTGTGCATCCCACTCCTCCAGCCCAGTGCTGTGCATAAGAAATGATTCCTTAGGATATATTGGTTGAATGAATGAACGAACAAATGAAGTAGAAGGGGACCCTTCTCCCCACCCCCTACCCCAGAAGTTCCTGGCTGAGGGTTGGGGCTCTGCCTTGGGGTGCTGGCCGTGGGCTGTTTGCCTCTTCAGGGTAATTGTAAGATGAAGAATGTGTGCTCTTTGTCATGAGGATCTTGTCTGTCTCACCCTGTTTTGAGCTCCACGAAGATGGAGCTCCCCTTTGTGTTCTTCGCAGCATCTGCCTCCTAGATGTGCAGAGGTACTTAATCAGTGACTTTGGTGCTCCTGTGCGTTCTTGGCTTGTCCTCCCTTCCCTCCCCTCACTGTGTCTCGTTCCTCTCCTTAGGTGGGTGAAGCAGCAATGTGAATTTGCCAGACAAGCACAGAACCCGGCCCCTGGCCCCAAACTAGACCTGAGCTTCAAAGAGGGCCAGACCATCAAGCTCAACATTGCGGTGAGGCCCTCTGCTTCCCCTGGTGCCATGCACGGCTCGGATGGAGCCTGTGTCTTAGGCTGCCTGCGACCCAGGCACCTGACACATCTCACCTGGCAGCTCGGGCTCGGGGTCAGAGCCTTGGCAAGGCTGATGTTGAAATTGTCTAGCATAGCAAAATGACTTGGCTTCGTGGCATTCAGGAATGGGAAATGAGTGAGGCTGAATGAGCAGACGTGTTTGGCCGGAGCCAGAGCCTCTCCTCCCTGCTGGCCAGCCAGTCAGGCTCTGGTGTAGAGAGATTTGCTCCTGCTCAGTGGGTTTTTGAAGGTGGACTGTGAAGAGGAATTTGTGATCCAGGCAGAAAAGCCAAGAGGGGTGTGAGATCGTGCACTTTGATCGCATTGCTGTGGGCAGTGGACCAGCACCTGACTCCATGTGGAAAGTAGCCCTGCATGCCTGGTCCTTTTTCCATTTCCCCTGAAGCTCACAGACTGTCCCTGAAAAGTCAGAGCTAAGTGAGACCTTAGGTCTGGAATGTCAAAAGGGTCCTGGGAGGTTGGCTGCTCCTGCTTTGTCAAAAGGAGGGTGCTAAAGCTCACAAAGAGCCTAGTAGCACATAACACTTACTTTCTTTTTTTAAACTTATATTTATTCATTTGTTTGTTTTTAAATAATGTTTTGTTTTTCCCCAGTTACATGTAAAAACAATTTTTAAAGTTTATTGGGTTTGGTTGTTGTTGTTTTTATTTTCTTTGAAGTTTTGAATTCCAAATTCTATCCCTCTCTCTTACCTCTCACTTCCCTAGGCATTAAGCAGTCTGATACAGGTTATGCATGTGCAGTCATATCGAATATTTCCATATTTGTCACAGAAAGCTTTTTCAGCAGACTTGAGTCCAGGTTATCTAACCTCAACTCCAGGACTCTTTGCAGTAGACCATGATTGCTTTCTTGCACATTGAATTGGACATGGCCCTTTGAAAATCAGGAGGTGGAGCCAGGCATGGTAGGGCACATGGTGGTCCCTGCTTTTGGGGAGACTGAGGCTAGTACATCACTTGAGTATTAAGAGTTCTGAGCTGCAGCAGGGCAAAAACTGATTGGGTGTCAGCAGTAAGTTTGGTACTACTAGGGAGAGCCCCAGGAGTGGAGGGCCAACCAGGCTGCCCAGTGAGGATTAGCCACAGGCTGGAAATAGAACCAGTCAGAGTTTTTGTGATAATTCATCTTGGGGTCACATCTGAGAATAGTGACTGTACTTTGAGCTTCGGAGAGATAGACCTAGTCTCAAAAAAGAAAAAATGAAGGGAGGAGAAAAGGAAAGAGGAGCAGGGAAGAAGAGTGGGAAAAGGAGGGAGGGAGTTGGGAGATGGGACGTTGCTAACCAGTATCTTGGAGCTGGAAGAGGCTTGCAGGGATCTTATCCAACCCATATCTGAATGAGAGTCTCTTTACAACTCAAGTGATCATCAAGTCTCTACTTGAATACCTCCAATGAGGGGGAACCTACTACTTACCCAGGCAGCTCTTTGCACTTTTGAATTGTTCTGATTGTTTATAGTTTTTTCCTTACATGAAACCTAAATTTTCCGCTCTGCGGTTTCTTCTAGCTCTGCCCTTTGGTGACGAGAAGAGCAAGGCTAATCCCCTTTCCACACACCAATGCTTCCAGTACTTAAAGGCTTTTCTCCTGCAGTCTAAGCATCCCCTTTAGCCTTTTTTTCAGTCATTCCTCCTAGGACATGGACTGAAGGCGCTTCACCATCCTGTCCTACCTTCTCTGCCTGTTAGCCAGCTTGCCACTGTTCTCTCCAATGTGTGCCACCCAAATTGAACCCAATACTCCAGGTTACAATACGGCAGTCCCTATGGCAGCCTCTGAATGCAGCCTAGGATTGCATTCCCTTTCTTGATTGCCACGCTTAGTGGATGAACACCATAAGCCGTCTGTCCTTTCATACATATTAGTTGGGGGTGAGTGTTGTTGGAGGTAGATGGGTTGGGAGTAGGGACCAGGAAAGCCATGGTCCAAGGGATTGGCTGCTGGTAGCCCTGCCTTGTATGTGTCCCCAGAGCCTTCTCTTCCTTCTTACTTGCTCCCACTGTTTTTTTTTCTGGTGATGCCAGTCCCTAGAGGCGCATTCAAGCTGGCCATCAGAGGACTTATCGGGGGACTTTGTCTTAACAAAACATTCATGGTGAAGTCATTTGGTTGTACTGTTGCATCAGTAATGGCTTGAGATAAATGTGTGGACATCGAAACCTTATCTTCATTTGTTATAATGTACAGAGATTTTAATTGCCCCTCGCTGTGGCACCAGGGAAGAGCACAGGCCTAGGGCCGTAGGACCTCAGCTCAGAGGCCAGCCCCGCAGACTCCTTGGGTGACTCTGGGGCACATCACCCCATCTCCTTGAGCCCCCATTTCCCTAACTGTAAATGATGGGGTGGCCTCTGCAATCCCTTTTAGCTCCAGATTGACGATCATGTTGTCCTCATCAAGGTGCTATCCATTTTAACAGACTTTGCCTTGTAGAGCTTTAGGCTCCCACAAGATTATATGGCCCAAATTAATTATGTCAGGTCACCAAGCGTCCCAGGCAAAGGCTGCACTGGAGCCTGCTGTAGAGGAGCATCTTGTTGGACAGGATGACCTCTCACTCCGGGCCCTTCTACCTCTGAGATGCTGGTCAGCAGTCCCCACCACCCTCTCAAACTCCTGGTTTTCACAGGGGCCGTTTTCACAGGGGCCGTTTCCAGGGCAGTGCATGGCAAACTGGCTGTGACCTAGTGGAAAGCGTCCTGGTGGTGAAGTGAGTTAACCTGAGGTTAGTGTCCATTCTGGTGCACACTAGCAGTCCCTAGAACGTAGAACCTCAGAACTGGGAGCACCTTCGGACCTAGATGGTCTGAGTCAAGAGGGGCCTTGCAGAATAGGCTAAGTCAATTCTAGGTTCGTTTCTAGTTAATATCTATAACATCAACATTTGATATTTTTATTTCTCTTCTAACTCACTAAATTTAATTCTGTTCTTATCTTTAGAACATGAAGAAGAAGGAAGGATCAGCTGGAAATGCCAAGTCCCGGCCATCCGGCAGTGCAGGAATGAGCCTCCTGCCTCCTCCTCCCCCAGGGGGCAAAGTGTCTGCTCAGTCCCCTCCCATTGGGGAGCATTTGCCTGTAGGAGTGGCCCAGGCCCAGCCAGCAGTTGCTCCAAGTACAGGTTAGTGCCCAGACAGGGAGCTGGCTTTGCCTGTTTGTAGGCAGCCTGCCCAATTTCCCCCTGGAAAAGGGGCTGAGTTTTCTCTGTACACCTAGTTGCTTGCAGACTCTTGGGACTTCCCTATGGGAAGGCTGAGCCAGGCAGGCCAAGAGTCAATTCTGTTGGAATCCCAGGGTCAGTGATGGCTCCGGTGAGCTGGAGAGTCTGTTGGTGTTCCCAGGAATCCCACGTGGTGTCTGTTCCTCCATCGTTTGTCCAGCTGCTTTTTCCAGGTCTCATTGCCCAGGTCATGCCCGCTGACTGTGAGTGTCCTCCAAGGCTCTGTCCTGGACGCTCTTTCTTCTTCTTCTCTGCTGTCTCACTTATTGCTTTTATCAGCCCCCATGAGTTTAGTTATCTCTGTGCGCTTGGCTCCCAGATCTGTGTATCCCACCCTAATCTCTCCTGTTCTATGATCCCACATCACCAGCTGCCTCTGGGACATGTCAGACTGGGTGTCCTGTAGACTTCTCACACTCAGCAGACCCAAAATGGAATTCATTATCTTTCCCCCAAGCCCTCCCCACTTCTGACATCTCTGTTACTGTTGGGGTCCCACATCCTCCCAGCCACCCAGGTTCAGTGTGGCTGTCATCCTCCTCCCTTGCACTCACCCCACATGGCCGTTCTTTAGCCACATCTTGAGATTTCTACCTCCACAGCATCTCTGCTGTGTATCCCCTTTTCTCCACTTACACAGCCACAGGCCCGTCCAGCTCTGGCCTGCAGTAAGTGGTCTTCTAGCTGGTCTTCCTGCCTCCAGTTTCCTCCACTCAGCTGCCAGGGTGATTTTCTGCCCAGGTCACCCCTGTCACCTCCGGAATTCTAGGGCATGGAAAGCTCTCCATCACCTGGCCCCTTCCCTCCTGGTCAGCCTCTACAGGCCTGGGGATGCAGCTGCATGGGCTGGGATGCCCCATCTCCCATCATCAACATACCTTTGCCCTGGTGACTGCCCCGCCCCCTCAGCGCCACCTTCCCCTTTCCCTGGCTTTCATCTGTACTCAGCTCACGTGCCATCTTCTGCAGGAGGCCCCCATCCCTCCTGCTCCCCCCAGGCTCAGTCACGCCCTCTATCTACACTGTATGTAGCTTGTATGTATTTAGTTGTCAGCATGTCTCTTCCCATTTTATGTGAGGGTCACGGCTGAGCTCCAGCTTTTCTTTGCATCTCCAGGCTTCACCCAGTCCTTGGCACACGGTAGGCATGTCATGATGGGCTGCTGACTTGCCTCTAATGTGAGCTGGGGGGCTGCTTGGCAAGGTGTGTATTCCTTCCCTGCCTCCAAGAGCTGTGTCTGCTGTTTCTTCCCTTCCCTGGGCGGGGCCTTCTCTGAGCAGGCCCCTTCCGGGTCTCCAGAGGTGAAGGGGCGCAGAGGGCCACCTCTTTCTCCTTTCCCAAAGGAGCTCTAGCTGGTGTCCTTCGCTTTGTATAGTCATGTGCTCCTTATCCAGTGGCCAGTCTTTTAGAAGCTTCACCCCTTTAGTTTCCATCTAGGTGTTACTGTTCTTCCCTCCCCATGTTATCCTCTGTTTACGCTCTCCTCCAGTTGCCTGGTCCTGAAGGAAGAGGCTGATTTTTCATAATTTCATCTTTGTGTCTCTGGTATCTCTCATAGTGCTTTGGGAGCACAAATAGATGCTAAATGAATGTTGGCTTCAATAGAATTGAACCAGATCCCCAAATCAGAAAGTCAGTCGAGAGAAAAAGGCCTCGGAGGGCCCAAGAAAGCTGTCCCAAGGTTCCTTGCAGAAGAGTGGTGTCTTTTCTGTGCTCAGTTCTTGCCCAGACCTTAGGGCTCTTAATATGGTTCTTACCAAGCTGGGTAAGCTGATTTCTCAGCCTCCAGTGGATGTCATTAGAATGGGCAAAATGACCAAAGGGGTGGCTGACAGCCTGACTGGGGGAGGAGGCCAGCAAACGAGAGCTGACAATTGGATTACCACAAGCCTTTGCTTAGCTAGAAAATTGACTTACTGCATGAAGTGCTTCCCTTCTTGATAAATGGAGCGTCACTGTGTTAACTTTTGGGCCCTGTCTTTCTTTACTGCTTTAAGGAATGCTCAAAGGTGCATTCTGACTGGAAATTAGATACTGCACAGAGGGGCTCTTGAGAGTGTTCATTTGCTAAGGGCCCCAGGATCCTGGGAAATAGTGAGAGAGACAGACTTATCCTTGGCTGTCCCTCCAGCACCTACTTGTGATGATGTTTTACACATAAATAGTTAATTCAGTTCAGCAAACAATAAGCACCTACTTTAGTAAGGCAACATCTAGGTGGTGAGAAGTGTTTGACGTCAGAGTCAGATACTTATGCCTTTCTCTTTTCTCTTCTTCCTGGACTCTGGAATTATTGGCAGAGGCCACTTTACCCTGGCCACAACTCAACCCCACCACTGCTGCCACAGCCGATGTCTGGGGTGACTTTGCCAAAGCTTCCGGGTAAGGATTACGTGGGCTCACACTCTGCCCAAATGACCTTGGGGTGGGCAGTCTTGGTGAGCCTGGAGCTGGTGAAGAACAGAAGCTTCCCCAGGTCGCAGAAAGCAGAGAGGGGCAGTGGGTACATGGGCTCCTTATCTCTCCTCTCTCTTTGAGACCCCTTTCTAGGTAGGAAAGGACACATGTAGAGACTTAATTCTGGTACTGATGTTTGGGAAAGCTCTAAACATTAGACATTTTAGAGGTTATTGGAGCTGGGAGTTGGCACTATTTGTAAAGACAGTGTCAGAGCTGGGAGGGTCCTTAGAACAGAGACTGTCAGAGTTGGGAGGGCCCTTAGAACACAGCATGTCAGAGCTGGGGGGGAAACTTGGAATACAGGATGTCAGAGCTGAGAGGGCCCTTCATGTCAGAGCTGGGAGGGCCCTTAGAGCACAGAGTGTCAGAGCTGGGAGGGCCCTTAGAACACAGAATGTCAGAGCTGGGAGGGCCCTTAGAGCACAGGATGTCAGAGCTGGGACGGCCCTTAGAGCACAGGATATCAGAGCTGGGGGTCTCATCGGGAATCCTCTGTTGCCCTTGGCCTGCTCGGTGTCCCGTAAGATCCCTTGTCCCCACCCTAAGCTTGCCAAGAGTTGCCAGCTTGTTGCTGCGTGTTGGATGTTGCTGTTTCCGAGGGTATGAAGCAGTTCATTTGTTGGTGTCTCTTGTGCTTTACCTGTTTGTTTTAAAAGCGCTAAGATCAATTTCCCCATCACAGGTCCACTTCAGGCCAGACTCAGCAGAGCTCCAACTGGGTGCAGTTCTAACCTGGCCCCAGCTTTTGCTTTCCCAATGTGCCTCCTGGGGAAGAAGCATCTTTACTGTGGCCCAGAGGGCGGAGGATCCAGACTTCCTGTGCCTCTCCATTTGGAACATGCCTCCTTTCCGTCTTCCTCCTTTGCATCCCCCAGGTCCTGCTCCTCTGTCTCTGTAGCATCTTGTGGCTGGGTATTGTAGAAGACTTCAGGATTCAGCACTGAAAACAGAGACCCTGGGGCAGAGCCCTGGAATGGGGACCCAAGAAACTGAGGCCACGTCCTGCTCTCTGCCTCCAGGGCTGGATCGGGGCTGGCACTCTAGCTGCAGGCCTTTCTGGGGGATATCCATTATCTAATGCAGACCCTGAGAGACTTGGGTCAGTTTGCTTCCCTGGCTGAAGCCTCTAACCACGGTGTTTACATATTTAAAGTGAGGGCTCAGTGGGTGTTGGGGTGGTTCCTCCATCCCACTTCTTCTCCATACACCCTAGTTACTGAAGTCAGGTCCCTGTGCCTCATGGAAATGGAGGCACCATCCAGGTTTCCCAGTAGCCTAAGGGGTAAGAAGGCCCCTTGGGAGGAGATCAGGAAACACCTAATTGTATTAAGCCTTTCTTTTCTAACATTTGCTTTGCTGACCTGCATAATCCACACTAACTTTGGGGAACTGTCCCTTCCAGGACCTCTGGAGGGATCCGCCTCTGGCAGCTACAGTGCCCACCTGCTCTTTGGACTCCCCCTCCTCAGGGTTTCCAGGGGCAGTTGTCATCTCCCTCCCGGTTGCAGGGTTTCCAGCGCCCCAAGCTGCTGAGTAGAAGCTGGAGGCTGCTCTGGGAGAGTTGAGCCCAGACTGTGCCCACTCAGGAGGCCCTTTTTGAGGCCCTTTTCTCCAGGCCCTGCGAAGGAAAGCCTTCTTGTGCTGGGCCTCTCTGGGTGGTTTCTGAGTGCCTTGTTGTCTATGGACAACCACCTCCTTTTCCTTTCTCTTACATGCACTGTGAATGAAAGCTAGGAGCCATGTGGAGGGAATGGAGGCAGGTGTTACCTGCACTACTGTTTTGAAAGTAATCGTATCTCTGCAAGCCTCTGAAATTCCTTGTCACGTCTTATACTTGTACGTTGTCTTTCATTGGAAAGGATTCATTCTTTTGTGGATCAGATGTTTTGCTTAGAAGTCCTGAGTAATGGATAGAGAATATGAAAAACCCTTTGTACAGGGTTAGAGTGAAGATTTTTTAAAGAAGAAAAGTGTTTGCCTTTACTAGTTTATGTCAAGGATGAGAATGTTTTTGACCATGTATATGCTCACTGTGTGGCTAGTAAGTGCCTTCAGCTTCCTTTCTGTACCTAGAAGTTTGGGTGGTTTCAGAAGCAAAATGTGGAAATGCGTGGTGACTTGAAACTAGCGTATTTTTTTTAAGTGCCTAGATAAGCCAATCCCTGGTGGAATAAGCTGGATGACAATAAATGACATTTGGACACATGTTTGCCTCAGGCGTGTTCATTAAGCAGCTGTTTTCTTGCACTGTTTTGGCTGAACTATTGAAGGTGTGCTCTTCCCTGCTTCGATCACACCTGGCCAGATGTTCCGAAGAGAAATTTAGGGCTGGAATGGGCTTTGAGGTAACGACTGCTAGCCGAGCACTCCTCTGAGGTTGGCAGAGCACCTTCCTCCTCTGCAACAACCTGTGTGACAGGCACTTTTGCAGACGGGGAAACCTGGGCCCTGAGCAGTTGGGACTCACCCCCTGAGCAGGCAACTGCTGAGGGTCCAAGGTGGGATTCATACCTGGATCTCACCAGCACTGACTGCCCTGAGTCAGCCAGCAAGCATTTATGAAGCACTACTGTGTGCTGGGCACTGTGTTCAGCACCAGGATCGAGAGGGTCAGGCTTAGGGAAAGGGGAACGTGACTTGCCCTAGGTCATCTGGGTTGTAAGTAGCAGAGCTGGGATTCAAACCTAGGTCCTCTGACTCCATATATCTGTTATGTTCTCAGTTATCCCACCCTGCCTGTCTTGGAGCCCTTCTCCTCATGTGTCCCAATAACAATAGTGATTGTCATTTACTTGGCACCTTCCAGTTTGTAAAAGACTTTATATACATTGCCATTCGAGCCTCCCCTCATTTAGACCTCATGATGCCTCATTTTTCAAATGAGGAAATGGGCCGGGCAGTGAAGTGATTTGCCCAGTCTCACCCAGCTAGGACGTGTCAGGTGGGGTTTGAACCCAGGCTGCTCCTGACTGCCCGGTCCAGTCTTCTGTTCACAATGCCGAGGCAATTGTGCTTATAGCCTTGTTACAGAGAGGGCGATGCCGGGTCTCCTCCAGCTGCTGCTTGAGAGGAGCCAGATCTAGTACCCAGACACTGTAATGCTGTAACCAAAGACTGGTTATTGGTTACAGAGAGGAAGTTAAGCTTACACTCCTTTTGGGACACTGATTGACTTGAAAGCCAGAGATTGGAATTATCTACTGTAGGAAAATAACCTGGCTACTTTAGAATCTGTAGACAGTCTGTCTGCACTGGAGGCCATGCATGGTATGCAAAGTACACTGGTTTTTGGGGTCCCAGGGACTGAGTTAGAATCCTCCCAGCTCTGCCCCTTATGACCTGGACAACCTTGAGCAATTTAACCTTTGGGGCTGTTATTTCCCCATCTGTGCATGAAGGACTTAGAAAAGATACTGTCTAGTGACTTCTGAATCTAAGATCTCAGGATGGGTAATGGGAAAGGGGGGGAAGGGAAGAGAGTGGTCCCAGATGACCCTAGATGATTGATAATGTTTCCTCTAGCTCTAAGCCTGATCAGGAAGACCTGAATTCAAATCTAGCCTCCGACACTTACTAGCTGTGTGACCCTGGGCAAGACATTTCACATCTGCCTCAGTTTCCCCAACTGTAAAATAGGGATAATAATAGCCCCTCCTTCCCAGGGTTGTTAGGAGTTTTGAATGAGATATATGTAAAGTGCTGTATAAATGTTAGCTATTATGGTGATCCCAAGATGAAAAGGTTGGATAGGATGATCCCTAAGGCCCTTTCTAGCTCTCCTGGGATTCTGGCCTAGCCAGTAAATCTTTTGTGCCTGTTTTCACTTGATTGGCACCCGTAGTCAGCCAGCACATCCCCTTAACCAGCAGTTTGGCTTTTCCATCCAACTTTGTTTACCAGGCACCTGAGCTGGAGCCATACCAGTGATATTCCACAGCCAGATCATTAACTTCACAACACCCCCTGCAAAGTTTCTTTTCAAAGGCCTCAGGATGCCAGCAGCCTGGGCCTCTGGAGCTGCTGATCAGGCAGGATGAGGAGTGAGTAGCAGCCCTGACCAGTTCCAAGGATCTCTGTGTGTCCAAGGCTTGGCCCCAGCCAGCCCCGGGGCTGAGCAGAGCCTACAGACAGCTGGGATGGGAGCCCAGCCCCTGAGACAGCAGCCTGACCAAGGAGAGAAGTCAGCGAAAGGGACCCAGTGTGAGTAGAGGAGTGCCCCTGAGAGTGGGATGGTGGGAGGATTTCCTAAGCTGGCTCCCATGCTGGCATTGACCATCTCCTGAGCCGGAATGCAGGTAGCCCCAAGGGAGTGGCAAGGGCCTGCTATTAAAAATTTCTCTAAACTTTGAAATTTAAAGGCTTTAAAATTTTTTTCTCATTCGATGTTGTTGACAACCCTGGGCAGTAGGTACTTTTGTGAGCCCTATTTTTACAATTGAAGAAACCGAGGCAGGTAGAAGTAAAATGACTTGTGCAGGGTCACATAGCTAGTAAGTGTCTGAGGCAGAATTTGAACTCAGACCTTCCTAACTCCAGGCCTAGCCCTCTGTCCACTCTGCCACCTAGCTGCATTTTTACACAGTCAATAAACATTAAGCACCTACTATGTGCCAGGCATTGTGCTAAGCACTGGGAATGCAAAGGAAAAAAAAAGATAGCCCCTGCTCCCAATTCTAATAGGAGAAGATACATTAAAAAGAAGTGGAAAGAGGGTAGGGAGAAAGTGCCCATCAAGAGTCCTGTTGAAGTCCTGCAGCTGAGTGGTGCCCTGGGCCTGGTCCTGAAGTGAAGGACCTGGGAGGGGCTCTCTGGTGTCCACCCTCCATCCTCTCCAATAGGAGGGAGCCCCAGGGGCCAGAGGGTACTGCAAGGTGTGAGTCTTGCAGGGAGGTGAGTGTCTGGAGAGAATGCCGAAGGCCAGGTGAGTAATCAGACCTGTGTGGGCGAAGCTTCATATTTATCAGCTTTAACAGGGATTTAATGCTGCCCAGGGGCCTCAGAGGTCATCCAGCTTTATGAGGTGAGGAGACCACGGCTCTGAAAGTTTAAATGATCACAAGATCGTAGATTAGGAGCCGGATCAGGCCAAGGGCTTCCAGTCCAGTTGGGCCGTCTCATTTTACAAATGAAGAAACCAAGACCCGGCAGAGGTTAAGTAGCTTGCCCAGGGGTCACACAGAAATCGTGTCAAAAGTAGAATTCGAACCCAGATCCTCTGATTTCAGAGTCAGTGCTTTTCTTCCACTTTTAACAGGCTACCTTCTGAAGGATATTGTTATCGAAAGTACTTTCTCATCTGAAAGCCTGTGATCTTACGGGAGATTAAGTGTAGTGTCAAATAATAGACCTATGTCTATATGTCTGGCCACAGAAAGACAGGGAGAACAAGGCAGGACCATCTGATTGGGGTGGGCAGCTCTTTGAGGCTCCTGGCACCATAGAGAAAAACAACTTCCCGAGCACTTTCAGACTCACAAAGGGCTTTTCTCACAATAACCTTGTGAAATCCAAGTTCACATATGCCCATTGTACAGGTGAGTACACTGGGGCTCAGTAAGGTTAGTTGATTGGCACACACTGACTTAGCTGGTTAGAAAGCCAGAACATAAACCCTTCTGACTCCTAAGTCCAGTCATCTAGTCCAAAGCCCTCATTGTGCTGAGGAGGGCCAGAGAAAGGACGTGACTTGCCCATGGCCGCACAGCTGTAATAGATTTTTGTGTAATGCTTTAAGGTTTTCAAAACGCTTCTACACAAGTATTTCGTTTTTATCTTTTCAGCACCCAAGAGGCAAGTACAATAGTTTTTTATTTTGTTTTGTCCATGTGAGAGTGTGGGGAGCCGGGCTGGTGTTTTAACAATATAGTGAACTCCAAATGAGAGCATACCCCTGCCCTTTTTTTTTTTTTATAAAACAAATGCAGTTGGGCTCCTGTTCTGCACCTTTACAGCCTTAGAGAGCTACCTGGGGGAACCGCCCAGGGTTACATACCTAGCAGGTGTCAGAGGTGGGATTTGAACCTAGGTCTTCCTAAGTAGGTTAGCACTGGCACTAACTACCATGCCACAGTGGCCACGCTGGACGTCAGACTCTGGTCTTTCCATATCTGCCGTTCTTTCCATCATGCTTGGTGCCTTGGGCGAAGGCCAGGATGGAAAACCTGTGCTTGGCAGACAAGGTAGCATAGACTAATACAAAAGCTTTTTTTTTTTTAATGCAATAAGAACTCTACAGAGTTCTGGGGATAGTGCTGGGCCTGGAGTCAGGAGACCCGAATTCAAATTCTGCCCCTCTTATAGTGTGTCTCTGGGCAAGTCATTGAACCTCTCGGCCTCAGTTTACTCATCTATAAAATGGAAGGGTTGAACTCGATGGCCTCTAAGATGTCTTTCAGCCTTAAATCTGATTCTGTGATCCAGTGAGTAAATGAATGCCTCTGCCCTGGCCCCCTCTCTCTGGTCATGCCCCTTGGCCAGATCCCATCTCACAGAGCAACTGTGAGCTGCCCCCCTACTGTGATGAGGTTGGGCCAGAGCTTTGTGGGGAATCAGAATTCTAAACAAACATTTCTTGAATTTAAAGGCTGTAGTTGGTGGGGGAGGGGAGGTGGGAGTAATCCTATTCTGGTGAGGGCTGGGGTTGGGACATAGCTGGGTGAACTTGGGGAAACCAATCTCTTCCTTTGTCTAGACTCCCTAAAAATGGTGGGGGTGGTGGATGAGATGACTGCTAAGGCCCTTTTTGGAAAGGTTCTAGAGCCTCTCTTGGGGGAGGATTTTTTTTTCCAAAGGCAGTTGGGTGAAGTGACTTGCCCAGAGTCACACAGCTAGTACGGGTCAAGTGTTTGGTCTGAGGCCGCATTTGAACTCAGGTCCTCCTGACTTCAGGGCCGGTGCTCTATCCACTGCGCCACCTGGCTGCCCTAGAATCTCTCTTGGATTCCCCAAGGGTCAGGGGCCATAGTTTCAGGCCTAAAAAGGGATCAGAGATTCCGAGTTGGCCCCTTCATTTTACAGGCACAGAGCAGGATCGCAGAATCAGAGCTTTAGAGAGGGAGGAGACCTCAGGGGCCAAATAGTCCAAACCCAGCATTTTACAGGGGGGGAAACTGAGGTATGGAGAAGGCTCATCCTGGAAGAGGGGAACTTTTCCAAGGTCACACAGGATTTGAACCCAGATCTCTGGCACCAAAGTCAGTTCCCCT